AATGTTAGATTTGTATTGTTTATTGTCATTTATGCTTAGAGGTATTTAACCATATATGCTTAGAGGTGTATAGTCGATTGTGTAGTGATGGGATGACAGGTTAGAAACTCAATGGCAAATTTCTCCCTGCTGCTGCTTTGACACTATGTAACTGATGAAAAAGGGGACACTGGCTTGAGACTGTGAATCCAATGGTACAGTAGGGCATGGTAAGGCCAAGTTTGGTGGACAGCGGTAATTGTAATGAGTGCTTAAAATGGAGAGTGCTTTGCTTTTCGTGCAAGGAGAGAACCTTATTAATGTTTTAAAGTCTCACACAAAGAGGCTGAAATGTATGCATGCAAACACCTTCAGCGATCATCCATCAAAAACAACCTTGGATGTGCCACACTGGCTTGTGCCCCATATTTCTACTAAATTCACATCCAAAGAGTTTATCCTGCCTGAGCGGGACAAACCCACCTTGACCTATTTATTTATTTATTTGCATGTAAAACAAAATGTGATATGACACATTTATAGATTCAAAACAGGGCATGTTGCAACCTTGGGATTTACTGCTTTAAAGTATGTACATTTCATTAGGAACGACTCTCAAATCTTGGCACTACGTCTGACAAGCGGCAAGCTAAAGCGGAAAGCTAAATCACTGAAAGGTAAATGTGTTCCACACAAGGATGAGGCTGGTGCTGTCAGAGTTTGAATGTAAAAGCGGTGCTATATTAATCCAAATGATGCAGGAATAAGTGCAGTAGAGCTTTGACACTCTCAAGGCTTGAAATGCATATTAGAATGATCATATTTAACAATCCATAAAAAAGGAATGTCTGCCACATAAAAAAGTTTAAAAAACTGTGTCTGTTTCAATAAAATTGACGAAATTAAGTGGTGAATATCTCTCATCACAGCATAGTGTGACAAGAAGGTAACAGCCCAGTGCTGGGTCTTAGCAATATTTCTTCTGTGTCCATGGAAACTGTGAGAAATGTGGCAATGGTCAATTTGCTCGACCAGCACACATGCAGAGCAGTCTGTTTTGAGACTGGAGGTCTGTGTCAGCTTATGTTTTCATGGTGTCCTTCATGGAACTCAGCTTGTTTCACCACTCAAGATGCCAGCAAATTTTTACTGGTCTGATTACAGCCAATAGATCCAATGCTTAATCTTGCTTTAG